AGATTGTGTTTCCTCAACTCTCCTCACCAAAACTTTTGTCCACAGTTTTAGTCATTAGATTGTGTTTCCTCAACTCTCCTCACCAAAATTTTTGTCCACAGTTTTAGTCATTAGGTTTTGCTTCCTCAACTCTCCTCACCAAAACTTTTGTCCACAGTCTTAGTCATTAGACTTAGATTTTGTGTCCTCAACTCTCCTCACCAAAAAAATTTTGTCCACGGTTTTAGTCATTAGATTTTGTTTCCTCAACTCTCCTCACCAAAAGTTTTGCCCACATTTGGATGATTTTGTCCAGGTTTAATGCCAACAGCATCACAAATTAGTGCAAAAATATGCAAAACTCAAAAAAATCATCGAAAAACCGTAAAAAAGGATGTGTACTTTGTATGTAGTTTGTATGTACTTTGTATGTAGTTTTTATGTAGTTTTCCAAAACTACATACAAAGTACATACCGCCATATGTAGTTTGTATGTAGTTTTGCAAACTACATATAAACTACATACAAAGTACATACAAACTACATGCAAAGTACATATCAACTTTACGTCTTTTTGATGCAATTTTACCAATTTTTTGCATATTTTGGCAATGTTTTGCACTAATTTGTGATGCTTTTGGAATTAAACCTGGGCAAAATCATCCAAGTGTTGGCAAAACTTTTGGTGAGGAGAGTTGAGGAAACAAATCTAATGACTAAAACCGTGGACAAAATTTTTTTGGTGAGGAGAGTTGAGGACACAAAATCTAATGACTAAAACTGTGGCCACAACTTTTTGGGGTGAATGAAAGTAAGGACATAAAATCTATTGAATAAAACTGTGGGCAAAATTTTTTGGTGAGGAGAGTTCAGGAAGCAAAATCTAATGACTAAAACTGTGGACAAAAATTTTGGTGAGGAGAGTTGAGGAAACACAATCTAATGACTAAAACTGTGGACAAAAGTTTTGGTGAGGAGAGTTGAGGAAACACAATCTAATGACTAAAACTGTGGACAAAAGTTTTGGTGAGGAGAGTTGAGGAAACACAATCTAATGACTACAACTGTGGACAAAAGTTTTGGTGAGGAGAGTTGAGGAAACACAATCTAATGACTAAAACTGTGGACAAAAGTTTCGTTGAGGAGAGTTCAGGAA